CATAATTAATTTATCTCCCAAATCAATTTTTATGAACATGGTTCAAAATCAAATCTTGATTATTTTTTCTTGTCATATTGTGGGTATTCTCAATATACTAGGTCATAGATTAATCTTGTTCATGATATTATAAATGTCATTAGTCTAAAAGACTTTTGTGCTCACTAAAAATTGAATATGGGACTCCCACTGATAAATTGTTTGTACAATACAGAGTGCCTAATCAATATGTCAACCTATTGTGTGTTCAAACCTTGATTAGTATCTATAAGAGGTTAGTTTTTTTTTATCAATTTTATTCCATGTTGATTTATTATTTAATCTAGACAATTTTGTTTTGTATAATCCCAAGAGATGTTTGAGTAAACTTCTCCAAAAATACTTTTAAGAGAGAAAAATAGGAATATATATTGAAATGAGCTTTTTCATAAATTAAAACTAGTTTATGTATATACTAATTTGTAGAAGTTATTTTCTATTAATTTCTCTAAAAATTTATTTTTAACTTATATATAAATTAATTTTAACTTATAAAGAAACTCGTTTTCATTTTCCATCTTATTTTTCTCTACTAAAAATATTTATGAAGAAGTTTATTCAAGCTGATCCTAAAATTAGTATAACTAATTAATGAGTAAGATTCTCATCTCCTTGTTTTTTTACATCTATGTTTGTATAGCTATTTAAGTGTTCATCCATATTTGTTATTGTTTTCCGTTGATTAATTTTTAGTTAAAGTTGGATTTGTTTGATCTTGTATGCTTTTTTTTTTTTCTTTTGTTAATGTGAAAGTGGATAAGCCTTAGGAATTAAGGATTGTGATCATTCATATTTTAAGATCCAAGTAGTGCTTCATAATTGAACCTCTCAACTCTCAAGCATTGAAATTTCCATACATTTTTTTTCTTAATTCATCGAGTATTCCTTACTATTATTTTTGTTCTTCTTTAATTTCACGGTAGTGGAGTGGTGCTTTCTTTATTTATTTAGAATATATGATGATGTTCTATATTTTTCAAGATTTTAATTTCAAAGATATTCCTAAATATATATATACAGCACTTGAATGTCATCGTTGTTGGATTCACTGCTGTTCTTTTTATGGGGATAAAGAGAGGCCTCGAAGTTCAGTGATTTTTTCCCAGGCCATGTTTATTCTTGACCCTTTTTGAATAAGCAAAAATCAATTTAACAAACGAGAGCATAACTAACATTCTTATACATAAAAATAAAAATAAAAAATAAAAAATAAAAACACACACACACACAAAGCAAAAATTCATTATTAGCTTAATTGACTTGCGTTGTTATTGATATTTAACATTGAGCATTAATTGGTGTAAAAAAAAAATATTATTATTTGTAATGCATGCCGCGCATACATAGGTTTGGCACGTCATTTCAATTAGTTTTTACCTTTTTTATTAGTTTAAAAAGTTTATTTGAGTTTATTGATAATATTTGTAAAATATCATTCAAATTTCTGAAAGTACATATTGTTATACTTTGATCTCTAAAAGTAAAGAAAATATAAATAATTTATTGAAAGTTCTAGTTATTTTATTTAAATCTTTAAATTTAATCACTTATTCTCATTTAAATTTCTAAATATATGTTGTTATTATTATTATTTAAATCTCACTCTTTTTTAAATTTTAAATTAAAATGAGTAATGTTTTATACTTTTAAAAGCTTTTTTATCTTTTTAAAAGTTTTTTTTTTTTTTTTTTTTTTTTTTTTTGAATTTTGGTGCTGCAAGGACTAAATGTAAGTGACATACTCTTTAGAGACTCAACAATATTTTAGCCATTTAGAAACTCTGATGGACTTTTGTGACTCCAGCCTCCCTTGTAGCTTCTTTATCCCCTCTCCCCCTATTTTTTTTCTTCCTGTGCTCTTATGAGTTCCATGAAAAGCTAAACTCGATCGTCTTCTAGTTCAAGGATAATAACCAAAGTGATGTTTCACCAAGGATTGACAGGTATAAATGTTTTCTATCCCTTTCTCTTTTTAAGTATTTATATTCCTATTGTCCTCACACAAACATTGTTTTATTAATATTATGCAAGATGGCCAATTGTTCAATTTATTAATAAATTGTACATAAAACAATTAAGCTTATAAATTTGTAATTGTATATTTGTTAGATTAAAGGATGATTTAGATCTGTAATTAGGTCTCTCAAAAAGTTTTAATTATAATGAATAAAGACTTTAAGTATAATCAATAAAGCTTTTATCTAAAATTCATTCAACAAACGAAGTATTTTATCTTGAAAGAATTTATCAAATGAATTGGTCGGACAACAAAGAAAGAAACAAGACTGTTCTTCTTGACATAAGCAAACATTTTTCCTATAGGAAGATATTGAATACGTGAAATAAGGATAAACAAAATATGTTATCGTACCAAGCTGACTAGTTGATGAAAAATAATAAATGCAACAATAAATACAACAATCACTTCTCAAGATTTGAAACAGACAAACGAAGAAGACAAAGTTTCACAAGTCATAACAACTATTTTTGAAAGAAAAAAAAACTTATAAATAGTAGAGAACTTACAAACAAGAGGGATGAACCACGAGGATTGACCTAATGTTGGAAGGTTGCAGTAGTATATACAAAATTCTAGATTTGAATCTTGGTATTGTCATTGTGATTATAATGGATGAAAAAAAAATAAGAGAGATAATGCTAAGATACATCAAGTTATTCAAAGTAAAATTACTTTTTGTATAATCTATTTAAGCTTTCATCTTTTAATTAAGGAAACTTGTATAGGAAGTTTTGATACTAAACTTTTCTTTTCATTGTACACTTGTTTGATAAGACAAAAGTTTCCAGCTAGTTTTACCCTTTACCGATTTTTTAATGAAATTTGGTTGAAATTTAAAGAGATTTTATTGTAAATAATAATTGGATATTTATTTGGAGAAACAAGTGATACACTACTAAGGTCGAGTGTGAGAAGACTTGTTAAAATAATACTTGTAAGTTTTATAAGAATTTTCTTCTATTTTATATTCATTCATACATATGTGTGTTAGAAACAAAATAAACAATCTGTAATTTCATTAAAAATCCTTAAAAAGATTTATAATTAACTTTATCCTTATTTAAAGTCATGTCTTTGCTCTAAACTAAACTTTTACACTACTAAAAATAAACAATATTTGTAACTTAAAAAAATTATGGCAAAATTATGTATTCCATTTCTATTACTTTATTGACTTAACTAATTGATTTTCTTTTTCATTATGAGTACTAAATTTATGTTTTAAAATAATAAATCATTTACAATGTTTTTAAAGATACAAAAGACTTGACAATCATCTACATTGTTTTTCACAAATTCTTTCATATTGTCTTATATAAAACTTAGTCACTTGAAAAAAAAAATCTTTAAAACACAATTCAACTTTTTTTATTGGTTTGAATTAAGTCTCTATAAAATGTTATGTTATTGATATATTAAATCTTAAACATTGTTTATTCTAAACAAATTAGTAAGCATGTCTTGGATATTGAGAAGTAGGGTGAAAATACTTATTAAAACTCGTCAATAATTATAGTTAATCAATATTAAAGATAATTTTTTTTCTTGTGTGATATATTAAATATAAACTTCTTTCTATTGTGACAATATTTTTAAGAGTTTTTCTCTTCTATTTAATTTTTATTTATCATGATTATATATTAATTAAATTTTAATATATTTAAAATAAATCATTAATAATTAAAAATAATCTTATACTACAATATAAATTATTTATCATAAATATAAAATATAATTTATAAATATAAATACATATATATATATATATATATATATCTATAAATTATAAATATAACTTATATATAAATTGGCTTGAATGAGAGCATGCCATGCCTCGAAACCATTACATCAGGCTGTAGACAAACTATTAAAATATATAATTTATTATAAATTTTATTTACATATAAGAAAATTACCTATACTAAAATACTAGTGAAAACAAAATACATCTTTGAATCCATAACCATTCTAAAAAAGACAAGTGGAAGTTTGACTTTCTGCTAAAACTTTTTCTTTATTGAATCTCCACCGGTCCCTATGCTTCTTTATTGCTTTGTTATTTTATTTTTACTTTATTGCTTTGTTATTTTATTTTTACCCAACACCTTTTTTTCTCTTTATTTATTCTTTTTAAATCAATAAAATAAGTGCATCCTTACCTGTGCTCGTAGATTCGACCCTAACTACTGCTTCACTAAAATAAAATCTTCTAATATAAAATAGTATTAGTGCAAAAGCTATAAATAATAATAAAAAAAATGTAAGAAATTTAATTTGAATAATTTTTCCTCACTTTTAGCAGATTTATAAAAATAATAAGACAATTAATTTATACTGTTTTTTATAGAAAGCTTTAAAAAACACAAGGATGAAAATAAAAATATGATAAAAGACAATATTTTCTAAAACTTTTTTTTCTCCAAAATATAACATCAGAATATCCGCTCGTAATCTCCATTAAAAAAAAAAAAAAAAAAAAAAAAAACCCTTGCTAGCTTACTTGAATAAAAAACAAAAAACACCTAGACCATATGTTTTTTTACAAGACTCAAATCCGATAATCTCAATTCTACAAATTCTTTTTCCATAATAATTACAATGACAACATGTTCAAGCCTAAAACTTTACACCTACTGCTCTAATTTCTCACTATTAGGCAGACTTAAAACTTTAGACATACTTCAATTTCTTATAACTAAACTGCTTTTAATAGCTCATCTCAATTATATAATATAACATAAGATTTTGATATTTCTCAAACCAATCAATCGGATGAAAAGAACTTGCCAACAATATATATAACAAGACCCACTCGTAGAAGACATCGATATCGTACCTAGTTATCCTTGGTTACTCAATATAGTTTGACTAGAAATGACAACATAGCTTAATATTCTGCGAAACTAATCAGAATAGCATCCATGATCCATCCTTGCACATGATGAGTGAAAATTTTCTACTATTCAACAATTTTAATTTTTTTTCTACAATGGCCTTGAGGCAATTTTCTACTATTCAACAATTGATTCATAAATATCTTGACGATGCCTAATTTAATCTTAAATAATTTTTGTGATGGCTGGACCAAAGAGTTAGCAACACTAAACCTATGATGTGCCTCCCATGTCCAGCCAAATACTTGTAGGAATCCTAAACTAAGCCTCTAGGACTATAAGCATGGATCTACCATGGGAAACATTGCTGCTATGCTTAGTTGCCATTAATGTACAATTTGATGGGGATGTAAACATTGCAATCCATGATAGTGTTTGCTGCATGCTCCATCATCTACCACACAAACTAACAATAAAACATTACTCTCTTCACATTTTCTTTCAGAGCTGGCAATGGCTTCACGCCACATTCTCCACCTGCTGGCTTTGCCTTTGAACCACCACCACCTGTGGAGCCATTTTCCTGTAGGTCTGGTTCCATATAGAATCGCGCCCGAAAAGCAGCCAAATGTGCATAATATGCTGGAGGAACTGCACATTACATGAATTAAGTCCATTCAGATTTATATTTTACAAAAGTTGAAACCTCAGTCAACACAAATATAATATAAAGGATTAAATATATTTAGTACTTCAACTTTTTGTTGATTTTCACTTTTAATCCTTGAACAAATTTTTTATTAGTTATGAACTTTTCCTTTGGTTAACACTTTGATCCCAAACGTCAAGATTTTTTGTTCATGGAGGAAAATTTTAAGGTCTAGTACCAAATAAAATTTGTCTAGTACCAAAATTAAATTTGTTCAGTGATTAAAAGTGAAAATTTGAAGAAAAAAAATCGGGAACTAAACATATTTAGCCTTATAAAGAAAAAAAGATAGAATAATACATTAATGTATCTTCCCTTTGTTCCCTTTTGAGCTTAATTTTCATACACTCTGAAGATTTTTATATTGTTAAACAATTAGAAACAATCCACGATATGACTTTTAGAGTTATTATTACAAAAACTAAGGATCTTAGCATACATGACAATTTATAATTGGATGACAGTGTAAATTCTTTAATACGTGAATGCATTCTAATAAATTTCTATTCTAATCATTTGCTTAATAATAATAACTGCATATGTCCCCATATATTCACGCCTCTCTCATCCAGACTAAAGTATAATCATTAACCATGCTGTGAAACCATTCCACTTTCTTTTACTAGTGGCAAGGGTAAAATATAATAAGTACCGCATATTGTTCAAATGGGCTTACCAACGGATACAGAGCGTGTACACCTGGCATATGTATAACAGAGATTGTTAGTCAAAGACTGAATTCCATCTGCTGTAAAGTTGTTTTCATCCCATAGAACATGATAATGAGCTGGCCGACTCGTACCCTGCATGATAATAGAAAAAGAAACCATAATTGAACTAATGTTCTAAACTACACCTAGCTTTGAGAGCAATCCATAGAAAATGGACCTAGAACAACACCAGGAGAATGATGGAAGTTTTCCATAACATCCAAAATAACAAATAAGGAAAACCAATAAATAACTTATAACTAAAATGTTATCTTATAAATTATAATCAATCATCATATTCATAAACACTATTTTCTACCTGGATGCCAGCATGACTGCACAGATAAAAATCAAATTCTGTTGGATGACAGATTTTGGAATCAACAACAGTCCCTAAAAACAGATGAAAATAATGAAAAAATCAATCTTACTAGACAAACACTTTTAAGAAAAAATAATAACTAGCATTTTACACATAAATTCAGGAATATTCTACATACCAGGCAATATATTTCCACTCTTATCTGTACTGTTCCTGTCCCTGTGGTTGTTTGCGAACAACCGAGTATGATGTCTTTTTTGTACGACAATGAAAGTTACTGGAGGTTGATAATTTGGTTCTAAGGAAGCACATGCCTGCATATATATATATATATATTGCTTGTCAGAACATAATTGTGTTATAAAATGACCTATTAGAATGCATGATGGAAGTAAGTGAACCATTCTGACCTTCCGAATTGCATCCAACTCATAAAGTAGAACTTGGTAAAATTGTCCTTCACTGACACCATCCCTGTTCAAATTTGTCGTTAACACAATAGTTTCAACAAATTAAAATGTTTCTTATTAGATATTGACTTGAATGAAATATGCCCCCACATCTCTGGATAGGTTTAGACTATATATCCAGCAATTTCCCTAAAAATAGAAGACAACAGGGTATAGATTCTTTTAAGTACATCTGATTTGAAAGAGCTGTGAAAAAGTATTTTAACAATAGCAAGCTGAATATTGTGATGTGAGCTTAACAAACAACTCTAAGCACAGGCACAGTGTGGTGAAATATATTCCATCATAGAATCTACCAAACAACCATTAATTTTAAATACTTGACTCTGTTACAGTGAGAGACTGTCCTTTAAAGGATAAAGTGCACTCACAATTGTTGATAGAAAATCAACGATTGAGAATTGATAAAATCAAATTCTTGGAGAATAAAATATAAAATTAAATATAACATCAACTATTATTTTTTAATTAATGGTAATTATTGCCCTTTATTCTCTAAATTGCAATTCTGACTTTAGAAGAATCAAATTCTAATTATCGAAGTTACAACATGCGTTGATCTTGCATCATAAGTAGATACTTACCTATAAAATATAATCCTTAGAGGCTTCTGTCCTGTTGCCTTTCTAAAGGAAATCAGCAAATCTCTGCAAGAAAAGGACCCAAAAAACATTATTTAGATTCAGGCGGAAAGTAAAAATTGTATTGTTAAAATTCCATCTTCCATAACCAAGAACACTGGGAATTAGAAAGGAGGAAGTCATATTTCTAGGATTACCGAATCATGCCACCACTAACTAAGCCACGAACAGGGTCATGCCACATTTTGTACAAATCTTGAATGAGTTCCTGCCTATGAGCTTGAGCGCACACTAAACCAGCATATTTTGTCACTTCAGGCCAGTCTTGGGATGCTACTACCTATAGATTGGGCAATAAATATCAGCTCTACCAAAACCCTTGATAACCATCGTAATATAAAAAACCGAAGACAAGAAGATTTATAAGCATACAGCTGCAATTGAGGGACTGGATTCTTCTCCGTTTTCAGGATGGGTAACATCTGCTCCAAATATTATAGTTGGTATGTCACTAACCAATGGTATTCTGCAGCTTACAGCATCAACCAAAACAGTGTTTCTACCTCCCATCTGCATTAACAAGAGGGGAAATGTTTATAAATTAGTTTGGAGGCATTTCAGAGAAATCAATTCTGACATCAATATCCATAGAGCAGGGAGGACTAAATTGGCCAACATAATGGTGTATTTTAGGAACAACAAACGATAAAATACCATGTACATATCAACATTTCTGAAGGTCAAAATGCTCACCAGTCGCCACTATACTAAAGCTTAAGCTATTAGTGAAGTACAACTATATTTTGTTATTACTATTAGTTGTCATATCTGCATCAACTACTGCAAAGCATAACCATTACTAGGCGCACAAGGTTGGGAACTTGGGATCTTAATCCTGACAATACCAACAGTGGCAGAGACTTGACTAATAGCTTAAGGTTGTTATTACTATTAGTTGTCATATCTGCATCAACTACTGCAAAGCATAACCATTACCAGGTGCACAAGGTTGGGATCTTAATCCTGACAATACCAACAGTGGCAGAGACTTGACTAGCCAACAACTTCTAACCAGTACACATGAATTTTTATGCACAAATTTATCCACAATAATCGTGAAGAATACCAAAAGCACGGAGAATTGACAAACAATTAACAGACATTAATTGTAGATTTAAAAGTCTTACTTAGGAAAGTGCTATTTCATGTAATTGAAATATGAGAGAACAAACCTTGACATTGATTTTCAAAGACACGTTAGCCAAGTATTGCTTAGTGATCTTAAAGACATGCTTTGTGAGACAACATTGTGATATTAAACCAAGGTCAGTTTCACAAATACGCTTGAGATCACCTGAAAAAAAAATGATTAGATGAAATTATGAATATTTAGAATTTAAACTCGGACCCATAGCTGATATAATCATGCACATTTATTATCATTGAAGGTGGCTTACCATACAGAGAACCATTGTTGTCAGGCAATATGGCTAACAAAAGCTCCAATTCCTTTCCTTTGGTTTTGTTTGTTGACACATGGTAAACATGCTTCAAAGCTTTCTCTACATGCTCAGGTTTGGCATTGTAGATGGGGATAATAGGCTCTGGATTAAATTCCTACAAAAAAAACATGAATTTCAAGAAAATTTCGTTCCCACTTCAAACACAAGACAGAATAGATGGAAAACTACCATGCCAGATACTTGACACATCTGAGCAAGTTCAGTACAAAAAGTACGAGCAACACTGTCTTGCACACTCCGTGAAAAATTTATGCATGCCCACCAGCTGACTGTCATTCCATTAATCATTTTCTGGATCATTCAAGTATTAGCCGAAAAAGAGATCAGTATTAGAAACTATCACATGAAAACTCCATGCTAAACAGGAATATCACTTATATAGAAATTTCATAATTTAAATTAAATTGGACCAAAGAGTTGAGTAAAAATAATGTTATGAATGACTTATAAAAATAATAGTATTTCCTTTATTTTCTGAAAACAAGGTAAAACAGTTGCATTTCACAACTGCTTGAAAACATATAATTGTAATATTAATATAATTGTAATATCAATGCACAATACCTTGTTCATCATATTCCACTGACCCACTTGGGGTAAACAATTCTTTTCTTTCCCACTTTCATGATATTTAAGCTGCAGACAAGCACTACATATCAATGAATAGTGACAAAAAAGTAATCATACTTGAAGTATCTTACTTCTTTTGGTATAGAAGCACATTTACCCATGGGGCAGGGAGTATTCGCGCCTCTACAGAAGCTAGCTTTTCACTTATTTTAATGCCAAATTCCTTTGCATAAGGATCTTGATCATAAGCATTATGCTGAATAGTCTGCATGTCATGCAACCAAATTTAAATTATTAATAAGACGGACTAACATTATTATGTAGCGTCTAGAATATCACTATATATTAATTAATTGTGAAGATATAAATGAAAGATGATTTTTTGTTGTCTAAACCAAGAGGATATTGATGAATTTAACATTATTATGTAGCGTCTAGAATATCACTATATATTAATTAATTGTGAAGATATAAATGTTGTAGTTGAATGCATTTTTCCTTAAGGTACTTTACTGATTTAGTAGAAGGTTTTACTTGTCAACTAGATCTCCACATGATTTCAAGTTTGAAACATTATTTACATCTTACAATTTCTACATGATTTCAAGTTATACTTATGCGAGTTTTATACTATTTCGACTTTCAAGGTGTAAGTGACACTCACACATAGGGGCTATAACATAAATTTGCTAAGCACTTTTGGAAGGAATCATGAAAAAAATAACAACATAAAGGTCCCTGCATTTCATAATGGCTCTGCAACCAAATATAAGCAGGCGTGCAAATTTTCCATTTTTTTAATAATGGGTGTTAGCTTATTATATATCCAGTAAAACATATCATAAATTCCGATTGTTGGAGAGAGAATTTTTAACTGCAAAGCTGTTTTGAACAATGTTAATCAAATTCAAAACCAACAAAGTACCCGCAAAATGTCATTTTCTCGATCACGAGGCCTTTGACAAGTAACTTTAAGGAGAGCAGTGATCTGCTTCTCATTCAACCTTTTTGTATATCGTTGTCCCTCAACAATTTTGCAGGCCTGAGGAACCAGCAGCACGTAAGAATAATCAATGTAATTACAACCAAGAGCAGTTATGTCAATTCACAGGAATTTTCCCTACCTCCATAGGTAAATAATTTGCTTTCTTTTGACCTTTGACAAGTAACTTTAAGGAGAGCAGTGATCTGCTTCTCATTCAACCTTTTTGTATATCGTTGTCCCTCAACAATTTTGCAGGCCTGAGGAACCAGCAGCACGTAAGAATAATCAATGTAATTACAACCAAGAGCAGTTATGTCAATTCACAGGAATTTTCCCTACCTCCATAGGTAAATAATTTGCTTTCTTTTGATTTCCTACTTGAAGGCAAGGAAGGTGAGTATATTTAATTGTGAAACCATACATCTCTTGGAAGTATTCAACTACTGACTTCATAGTTGAGTTCTCATCAACAGGAAACCTAAAGTGATACATCCTCATCATTAAGAAAACTAGTGGAAAATAATTAGAACTTCTTTGAACTTAATGTAGAACAAGAATCACTGGACCAGAAAGAAAAATTACTTACATGAGTTCTCTGGTTGGCTGAGAAGTCAAACCAGAAACACGATACTTTCTTCTAACACTCCCTCTGTGGGTAACTTCAAATTTAACTCCTCTGAGGGCTTTCTTAATCTGTTAGACATCTTAAAGTAGCTCTGTAAGTTTTCATTATTAAGACGACACAAAAAATGAACTAGGCAAGCTTTGTTCATATAAGTACTTTAATGCGATCAGCATCAGACAATTGCCTCGCCAGGATATCTTTTCCTAATAGCTGGCCAACATATTCCACAACTGGAAGAGGTTCAATGAATGCAGCAGAAGCCATATCTATGAAATGCAAGAAGAGTACAAAGAGAAATAAAAGGTTAAGTAACGTACTTTCATTAGCAAACAAATGATATCTATGGTGAGTAATATACCAATATTGAGGGAAAGACCCATCTGAGTAGGCCTTATGCTTTGGTAAAATCCACACCATGACTCCAAACCCTCTCCAAGTCGTTGAGGTGTTCTAATATCAGGTGAAAAGAAGGATCTCCCGATTGGACAAAACCTTTAGAAAATGCATATTTTGTGAGAAAATTTAAAAACACATACTTTGAGCTCCAATTTTCCCTCAATTATTATCTGGTAAAATTACCTCTTAGATGATAGCTCTCTCAATACAATGTCAAGAATCTGGAGTGCTTCCTGTGGAGCATCAGCACGTTTACCAGCTAAAAACTGACCCAAGTGGTGCAAGTTTTCCCTGGCAACAAACTTGATCACCACTCTATATTATCTTTCCCTTCTGAAAATGGTGCAACTGTCAGTTGGAAAATGAACTTAATTCTAATGACACAAACATATATGTAGTCCATCATGTTTGTGTTTCAAAGCCAAATATAAGTATGAGAATACTATGTTTAAATTCCTTAAGTTAGTGTGTTAGGTTCAAATTTTGAATGAGATTTATCACATCAAAATGGAAGCTATCAATTGTAGCTTTTGCGTTCTAAACGTGATTTTTGATTCAATTCACGTTTTGGACATGTTACCAAATACGCACTTAATTATGTATATATGCAATAAATCTTACTTGGGACCATTAACTCCATCCTCATCATCCACAATCTTTAACTTAAACTCTCTCCAGGAAAAGGGAAGTGGCCCTGCAGTGTACAGGTTTTTTCTTCCATCATATGCTGGAAGCCTCATCCCAAGGTCAGACTCCTTATACAGCCTCACAAGTTCGGCTATAATGGACCTGTTCACTGCTTTAGAAGACACTTCGGGGGTGATGCTGACCTACAAAACACAGCACAGGCAACAAACAATAAGAACAAAACTTGAGGTCAAATTTAAGGAGTCATAAAAGTTACTACAAGGAAAAGGACAGCAAAAACAGAACCCCCTACAGATTCTTCTGCAATTGAACAGCACATAAAGGAGGGAATCACAGGAAGAATTTAAATACTTCCATAAAGGGGCCACAGTAGCTGTGTCGTAAGTGAGTCACTCACAAAGCCCCAACCTAATTTTCCTTGCAGAAGGCTACAGTAGAGTGATAAAGACCAGGCAAGCAAAAGGAGCTTACATCATACTGGTTCAAGTCCTTGTCTGGTAACTCTGCGAAGAAGTGGTTAGCTTTCACAATGCACTTTGTCCCAACTTGCCCATAGCCAGGCCTAGGAGCAAAGCTCAAAGACTTGCTTGAAGTAGGGTAACCCATTTCTATTTCAGCACACATGGTGCTGCCATTTTCAACAGTACTTGTCACCATAGGTCTCATCAAAACATCTTGGTCACATTTTCGGCCACCTCTACTCCTCCTTCTCCCCTTGTTCCTTACATGAGGTGAAGTTTGGTTGTGGGGTTCCTCGGGCAGTGGTGGTGGACCTTTCCCATTTTGAACAGCTCTTGGAACCTTCTTAGCTGCATTCATGGGGTTCTGCAAATGGGGTTTGATCACAAGATGTTGTTCTGAGCTCTCCCTCATCTGTCTTACTGGCATGTTTTCCTTTCTGCTGAGTGCTGGCCAATGGATATACAAAAGAAGAAGCACACTTTGTCAAAGGTGGCCAGTTTTTGACGTTTAGTTTTTGCTTATAACAGCAAAACAGTGCCAATTGCTTCAGCCAGGAACAAACAAACAAAGGTGGAAAACTAATGAGTAGTAATTGCTGTAAAGTAAGAACCCAAAAAGTAAGACTTAATTATTATGAGTTGTGTTCTCAATGGCGGACTAATGCATAAAGTAAAATATGGTAATAGGTATGGTGCGGAAAATGTAAAGTACAGGCATTTTTAAGAATACAAGCATTATTACTATTACTTTGCAAAACTAAAAATTCCAACAAGTCACCCTTATTTCAGCAAGCAAACCCAAAAACGGTGAGGTGGTAGAACCAACCATAGAGCTATCTAAGACAAAAAGACAAAAAAAGAAAAAAGCAATTTTTGACAACATTTTCTTCTGCCCTTTTCCTTCCAAGGAAATCCCAATGCGAGTTGGAGCTCGGTTACACAGTCTTTGTGACACACACGAAATATCACAAACAAACGTAGCTAGACAAAACCATTAACCAGTGTGTGCAATTGTAAGGATGAGAAAAACTGATAATAAAATGTGATTAGACAGATATATGAAAATCCCAGAAAATCAAAATACCCAGAAGAAAAATCCAACTCCTTTGGCCTGTCCCCTCTTACCAAAAATTGAAAATCTCACCCAAAATGACCAACAGCCAAATACAGCCAAATAAAAAATACACTTGAATAATGAATAAAATAAAATAAAAACGTTAGAATAAAAAATTGACTGTGAAGCCAAGCCAGGTTTCAACAAACCTGTAAGTACTGCCTTAGAGAAGAGAATAAAACAACCAGAAGAAAACAAAAATCAAGAACATAGCAACCTAAGAGAAGGGAATAAACATTGAAAAGGGTAGTAAAATCACTGTCTGGAAGATTTGCAGACAGAAAAAAAAATTATAAATTAATAAATGCAATGCAAAGGGTACATAGCAAAATACTTTCTCTAATAAATTCCTTGAAGTGTAAACCAAGTCAAAAACAGAAAATGAAAAGCCACCAACCAACCAACCATGTGAATGAAAAAATAAATAAATAATAAATAAAAAAAAACATAACTTGAACTCACCCTCTTTCTCTTGGTTAGCAAAGAAGGCCTTATGGTTATGGCAAACTAAGTAGACACGTGAAGTGAAGAGTAAGTTGGGGCGTTTGAAAGGGGAGAAGAAGATGATGATGGTGGTGATGAATCTTATACACGCATGCAAAAGAGCTTTTGGTGTTTTCTTTATCACGTGTAAAAGGCTTTGCGTCCTTAATTTTTTTTCTCTCTCTCTCTCTTTCTCTTGTAGCAGCAGGCTAGGGAGAGAGAAAGTTTAAAATACGGTGAAAGGTAGAGAGAGAGAGAGGGTAATGAGTCCAAAAGAGGTACTGAGGATTATAAAAGCAATCATACAAGGAAGAAGAATAATTCGAACTTGCAGTTCTCTCTCTTGCAGGTTTCTGCTATGCTATGTTAAGTATTGTGTGCTTTCTTCTTTTCTCTCTCTTTTATTTTACAACACAAAATAATATACCAATTCACAACACCTCATTTATTGATGAATAAGTAGTAAAAATAATTTCGATAGGCGTGATAAATAAATAGTATGATAAAAAAAATTTGAGAGAACGTGGTGGTGGAAGTATGTTAATGATAGCCCTCATACAATACTACACATTCTTTGAAGATCATTTTCTATTTTCAAAAGGAGAAAATTTAATTACGATTTATTTGTTGTTGTTCTCGAATTAAAGTTAAAATTTAATTTTGATAATATGTATAAATATATATTAATAAAGTTTATATTAAACACATTTATATAATAGAGATAAAATTTTAACTTTAATTAAAAAATAACATTAAATACGTCTAAGAAATTATATTTAAATTTTATCCTTTTCAAACCAATACATGAAATGAAATCTCCCTTTATTTAATTATAATTTTAATTAATATATAAAAATGTGAAATACTATTATAATGATTGTTATGTAGTAGTATATTATGTTATTCGTTATTAGATCACTCCTAAGTCTTTTGGTATTTGGATCCTCTCTTACTCCTACCTTTCTGCCCATCATCCACTTACGGTTTGCTTGGGCAAGCCTCGTAACGGTCGATTCATTTGGGAGGGGACCACTCTCCATCTCCGAGTGTTACACTTAACACTTAACATTTTTTATATGGAGTTTTGTGCAGTGATTCAGTGTTTCTCAGTTCACGGCATTACCCTTGATGGGTTAAAACTTATAAGTCATTAGAGGGTGGGGTGGTGATGATCGATGATTATTGACTTTGCTGAGTGGGGGTGCAGTGTGCCTCTGGCCAATGCTATCGAAGGTCTATGATGATATTATGGACTTGGAGCATAGTGGGTCGGCTCCCAGTCTCCCACCACAAATGGATCAAACCTCACTCCATTCTAATTTGGAACCGCTTCTCCATCATTACTTCTTCACCCTTCCATCGCACTTTCAATCTAACTTTTCTTTTCTTTTTTTGCTTTCTAAAATTACCAAATATTAAATAACTTAAACATAATTTAAATTCATAATTATATTAATATATATTTAAATTTTGGGATAAGCTATCCTAACTCTTTAAAATACTTGTAACGTAGCGATGAGATTAATCACTGCTATTCGCGATAAATATCATAGAGATAAACTAAAAAACAATCAACATTGCTTTAGACGTGGACAAATAAAGTTGTTTCTAAAAGAAAATATCTATAAAAAAAAATTAAAAAAAAAACTAAGATTATTCTAAACGGCGATAGATCCACTCCAACGACTTTAACTAAGACTGCATATTTACTTATACTTTCTTTTTAGAAAACAAATATTGTTTCAAGGGGTTAAGTTGAAGGTCACGACTATTTAAAACCACATTTTTATAAGGACACCCGAATCTTTTTTTAATCTACATAAATATTAAATAAAATTTATATAATTAGATTAAATTATATAAGAAAATTATTATAAAAAATAAATCAAACCAATAATTAATCAATTCCGGTAATGTTTTCATTTTTCAACAAAAATTTATTCATAATTTTATGAAAACAAATCAGTGATATTAAATATAAAAAAAATATAATATATTATTAACTTATTTTTGTTATATCTTTTAGTTTGAATCTCTCTAATTAATGTTAATAAATAAGTATTATCTTGAACTTTCTATTTTTTTCTTTATATTTAAATTCTTTGTTTTTCTTTAAATTCTCTTCGCGATCATCTCGTGTGTTTTGTAAAAATCTCAAAATCAAATTATAAATCTTTATTTGTTAGTTTTTATGAATTTTTTTAGAATTTGTGTTCTACTATTGTTGATTTTTTTCATCACAACAAATTAAAAATTTAAGATAAATGTTTAAAAATAAGCAATCAAGTATAATTGATCCATTTCATTGTTATTTACTCATCATGAAAAAAAATTTATTTGATTCATAAATTATAATTTAGTATTTTGTCTATATTTATCTAATTATTTAAATATATTATTCAAAAACCAACCATCTAGTCATCTAAAGAGTCTACCCTTATTTTCTTTCGATAATGTTTTTCTAAAGAATCTTGATTATGGATGGATTATTAATGATTTGATTTTGCATCAAAAACTACTATAACAACAATATTTAAATAATTATGAGACCAAACATCAATTTTTTTGTTCACCCAGACCATTAATAAAACTCAAGTTCGACCTTGATTAAGTTCATGTGATTTGAAAAGTAACGTAAAGAATCTCAATTTCAATGTTGCCAACAATTAAAAATGCAATATTCATCTAAAATGACATATATTCGCTTAATAATGTCATTCACATTACTTTTATCATTTTATCCATTTGTAGTATCTTGAAGTCTCAAATATGATCAAATCAATTCATTGAATCTTAAGTTTGCAATATAGCTTTGTAGTTAAGATTGTAACAAATTTTAAGAAATCTTATAACTTTTAAAATTTGGTTATGTTTTTTTATGTTGTGTATTTGTTTGAACACTAATTTTATCTATGTAAATGATTATTTCATTGAATCTTAAGTTTACAATATAGCTTTGTAGTCAAGATTGTAACAAATTTTATGGAATCATATAACTTTTTAAATTTGGTTATGTTTTTTCTATGTTGTATATTTATTTCAACACTAATTTTATTTATATAAATGATTATTTATTATGGTTTGTCATTAATAATTAAATCCAGTTAAAAGTGATATAAAAAGGTTTGATTAATTTAGAGTTTAATGTATTTAATAGGGTGTGAGTTTTCAATGTGTAAAAACTAAAAAGTGATTATATTTTTGTGATGGAGTTAAATAGAAATACTCAACAAAAAAAAATGGAGTTGTTTGTAAAATAAGTTATGGTCTTCAACTTACACATATCATTCTCATATTTTGTGATATCTCATTATCAAAAAGATGCAGAGAGAAAATGTTAAAGAACTCTCCTAAGGGAATAGATGTTGATCTAGATGATTGGATCATTTGACTCTCAAATGCATTTAGTCATCACACATTCAATTATGCTTTTGCATAATTTTTCTAATAATTAGCATGATTTCGTATTTTGGTCCTAGATGATGGTTTTTATCAAAGGATTGTTTTGTTCCAGGTGATATCAAAGTCTATTTTAAAGCAGTACATATTTAGGGATGTCCAGCTAAAGCATGGCTTTACATGCCAAATAAAAAAAAAATAAACTCAAGGATGATCAATTGTTATTTTATTGGATACTTTGAAAGATCCATGAGTTACAAAATTTTATGGCCTAAAACTAAATCAATCTTTGAACTAATAAATGTTTAGTTTTTTGAAGACGTTGAGCATACAAGGCGAGATAAAGTAAGAAACATTGTCTTTGAAGAGAAATATTGCTAGATTTTTTACAAGCGTACCAATTGTCGTGAGTAGCTAGTTAAATGGACAAAATCAAAGTATTGAATCCATAAGAACTTGTATAACAACTAATTAATCTAATATAATGCTAATTAGGAGAAAATTTGAAGAATGCGTAAAAACTAAAATAAAAAAACATATTTTTAGGGTTTTAAGAATAAGAAAACAAATTAAAAAATGATTGAAGATTGATAATAAAATATGTCAATAATTGATTTCACTAACCTTTTAAGACGCATCCTTCTCATTTATTATCCAATTTCAAAAATTATTTAATTAATACAACAAACAAAAATATTTTTATCCTAATCTTTTAGGCGAGAAATTTTAGGTTCCTTAATAAACATCTCAATTTCTTGGTGGAGTTAATTAAGTAACCCACATTAAGACCAGAGGACTAAAACTTGGCTAATAATTCTTATTCTAATTTTAGTAATAAGTGTTATTAATGTTATTCTTCATATTGTAGTTTCAAAAAGGTTTTCCAACTTCTATTAATTCTACGGTATCCTGCAAAGGGTAGTCAAACCAAAACATGCATTAAGAACATAAGAATAATAATTAGTTGAAAAAACTTTAATTGAATAAAAATAGGAAAGAGCTACATTGGAGTCAAACAACTATATCAATTCCTAACAATAGGAGACTTAATCACTCATAGTTAAGGAATTTGCACAAGGTTACAAAAAAAAATCATTAAGGGATTTGTGATTACAAAGGTTCTCGCACTCTCAATATTTTTAATCTCTTTTGAATAAGCTAAATGTGAAGTTTCTATCTGTTTTCTTGAGCCTTAATTTTATAATATCTTAATTAGGTTTCTTTTGTGCAGAGTAGCTTAAGTAACAAGGTTGATTTGCTTAAAGGAGCTTGATAACATGTTTATGTTGGTCTTGTTGTGTTAGTTTGTTCAAAGTACTCAAATGGCTTGCTTGAGTGAACTCTTCACGTTGCTCTAGGGGTGTCTTTTGTGCTAACTCTCTCAAAGAGCATGAAATCGTTTAGAGCTTGCTTTCTTCTCGTTTTGAGTAAGTGCTCTAATGTTTGACTCCTTTGTTGTATTTTTGACATTAACTCCTTCCTCCCTATATTCCAAAACTAACAAAAGAAACCATAAAATATACCTACAACTTAAACAATTATATTAACCAAACGAAACTTAACTCAAAATACTTATTTTTCTTTTTACAAAAACATGATTCTAAAACATAAGATATGTTTGATAATTACCTAAATTGAATAAAGGATATTGACATATTTAACAATTGTCAAATATATTAATATTTTCATAAGTGCTGCTAACGTTGTTTAGGAACCTTTCCTTACCATGTCCATGACACAATAAATCAAGACAATGTTAAGATTCTCATAAAAATTATTCCATAATAACAAATTCTTCCACGTTAAAAGCTCATGTCCATAAGACAACTTTTTTTTCAAATTACAAAAATTAAAAAGATTAATTTTAAATTTAAAATAAAATAAAATTATTTTAAATTTAAATGATTAAAAACATTTTTTTTTTTTTACCTTGTGCCACGAATTTTTCTCACTTCAATTTGTTATC